AGTGTTGCAATATATAAATATACTCTGAGCTTTTGTTATAGTGTTGTAATATATAACTATACTCTCAGCTTTTGTTATAGGGTTGCAATGTATAACTATACTCTCAGATATTTTTTGTGTTGTTGTATATAAATATAGTATCAGCTCTTGTTATAGTGTTGTAGTACGTAAATATAGTTGCATCTGGGAACCGTTTGGCATACTGGTATTCCGAGATATTATCCTCACAGTAGGACGATGTTAAACTGTTCTTCAACGGAATGCTGTGCAACTATTAAGATGATTCGAGAAGAATTGTAGCACAGTGCTTACTATCTTAAGTAGTGGGCTTTTATTTAATAGCTTTTAACATTTTGTACCCCGCAAGATTCTAACATTGTACCTCCAACCTTGGTTAATGTAATTGTTATGGTCAGAATTTGACCTTTTATAACACAACTAGATACGTATTTATGCCTTTGCCCCCCAGTGGCACAGCGGTATGTCTGCGGACTTACAACGCTAGAATCCAGGTTTCGATACCCGCGGTGGGCAGAACACAGATAGCCCATTGTGTTGCTTTGTGCTTAATTACAAACAAATAAATAAATTTATGCCTTTAACTAGTTTATGAGGAGCCATGTTGATAATTTTTAGTTTAAAACGTTGAATTTATTAGTGTCCACGCCTTTTCCATTGATATTTTGTGTGTTTGATTGATATTAGTAAAATTTCCGATTGTCACATATTAACACCAGCACTTTTCACTCCATTCCTTAACATTTATTTTCCCATCAGTCGCAGTCTTTCTTAAAGATAAAGATAAGTACAGTCGCAACGTTCGTTATACTGTCGCAACATTTTTATATAATTGCAGCTAAGTTGATTTTAATCTTTTTGAAATCCAATCAATGCTGACTTTAACTACAAGCAAAATAAGAGACTATCGCGGTATTACAAACAAATACAAACATGCTAAAACCCCATAAATACGAAATATATATACACATCACCATTATAAGAAGCCTAACTGTATTCCTTTGGTTTTCTGACCCCAGCTGTGCCTTTGAGCTTTGAATAGGCGAAACTGCAGTCCACGCCAAAGAGTGTAGACAATATCGTACGTTTCTACGTCACAGATTATATTCTCGATTCTGCCCTTGGTGAAAAGAAAAGAAATCTGTAATATAATCGTGCTTGCTTTTAAAGATATATCCACTTAACTTATGAACAATATGAAGTTTTGAAATAACTATTTGTTGAATAATAGCTTTATTTCTGTACAACGTTTCGTTTCTAACAGTGAGACATGATCAGAAATAACAGCCGTTTCAAAACTTCATATAATCATGATTCTTAGTTTGTTAATCTTTTCTGACTGCAGTTAGCCATCCTGTCTTTAGTGAGCAGCTGGGTTTTATTATTCTGCTATTTTAAAAACTAGTGCACTGGGGCTGAATTTAGGTGATAAAAAAACGGAAGATATATTAAATTAACTTTAAAGAAGAAATATCAGATTTTGTCTTTTGTTCTACTTTAGTAACCCTAGATAGTTTCAATATTTTGTATTGATTATCCAGTACCTAATGATTTAATTTTATTGTAATGGTAGTCGTCTCTTTTCTTGTGAAGTAAAGTTTAGGTAATAAAAGAATAATCCCCTAATAATGACGTAATTATATAAATATTAGACACAAATAGCGCCCCCCCCCAGTGGCACAGTGGTATGACTGTGAACTAATATCACTAGAAACCGGGTTTCAATACCCGTGATGGGCAGAGCACAGATAGCCTTTGTGTACCATTGTGCTTAATATCAAACAATAAACACAACAAATAGTCCTAGCGCTTCTTCATCTATCTGTGTAAACAGTAGACACAAGAAACCTGAACGTACGCTTCCATATACTATTGGTCATACAAGTAAAATCTCAGAAGAGTATAATTTCGCTAAAACAACAATTTAATGATAAAATAAAACAAATTTATTTCGAAAATTAAGTTAAACTTATATATATAATGTTCAAAACTTTGTTCTGATACCGTTATTTTTTGCCTTTTTATTACATCATCACAAAATCAGTTTCAGTTTAACACAGATACTGAAGATGTTGTGAAAGCATGATTTCCACAACTTTACCTGCAGCGTTATCGAGATGTTAGAGTAACAGAAGTTTATATGTAGCCTTACCTACAGCGACATAGAGATGTTAGAGTAACAGAAGTTTATATGTAGCCTTACCTACAGCGTTATCGAGATGTTAGAGTAACAGAAGTTTATATGTAGCCTTACCTACAGCGACATAGAGATGTTAGAGTAACAGAAGTTTATATGTAGCCTTACCTGCAGCGACATAAAGATGTTAGAGTAACAGAAATTTATATGTAGCCTTACCTGCAGCGACATAGAGATGTTAGAGTAACAGAAGTTTATATGTACCCTTACCTGCAGCGACATAGAGATGTTAGAGTAACAGAAGTTTATATGTAGCCTTACCTGCAGCGTTATCGAGATGTTAGAGTAACAGAAGTTTATATATACCCTTACCTACAGCGACATAGAGATGTTAGAGTAACAGAAGTTTATATGTAGCCTTACCTGCAGCGTTATCGAGATGTTAGAGTAACAGAAGTTTATAGTTGGAGGTGAATGTATTTTCGCTTGTTTTCACATTCTCATAGATTAAACTAGTTTGATAAAATCTGAAACTAGAAATCTCATGTGAGTGACCTACTGTCCATACATCTTACTTTGAAGCCTCTTAATAAGTGTAAGCTTTTCAAATTACATGTGTGAAAACACACTTAGTATTATATTTGGGAGCTTTACCTTATCCTGTTATATTTACTTCAGAACCCGTCCCCTGGCAACAGTCAAACAGGCGACACTTGAGTCCAAAAACCTGCTGATTACAAGAAAGGCAAGCGATCAATAGCAACTAATCTAAATAGCTGGATTATCACCGTTATAATTCCCCCACATCTGAAAGTACAGAGGGTGTCCAAGTAGCATACAATGACTCGAACCTTGGACCTTCTGTTTCACGTATCGGCACCTTAACCACTATGTCATTCTCCGACTTTTAAGTTATCAAAATCTAACACAATCTAAGTTTTAACGAAGATGACCAAGAGCTCATCTAATTATTGGCACATATGCATAACAAAGCTTACATAATTAAAGGCGCATGTACATACACATAACCACAGACGAACCTGATGGTCATAGTTTGAGAAAAGGATCGGTACAGTTGTTAAAACTCTAAGGGTGTCTTACATATTCGTTAGATACGATCTCGAAGAATTGTGTGACAATAACCGATGAAACAAAGGAAAAGAAAAGGACTTTCAAGAACAAAACCGTTCTTGAATTACCTTGCCTCCAGCACGTGCTAATGTTATCAAGTAAATCTAGTTAAGAGCCCAGGAACGAAATGATCTCATGAATTATTCGTATAAAAGTACGAATGGTTATTGGTTGATTTTCTGTGCTAAAAATGTGTAAAGTTGCAGTGCTGTAGGTCACGTTCGAACGTACGAGTTCAGCTTAAGCTACAGCTAGGCTTCACGTTACCAAGGTAATCACCAGGGGGCACAGAACACAAAAGAAATAATTTCTCCGCTGCTCGTGTATACGCGGAGTTTTTTCGACAAGGTATTTTCTATATTTTAAACTCGTTTTTTTATAGCATTAATTGCGTATTGAAGAGAAGTTAAAAGAAAAAGGCGTTTTAAAGTTAAACTTCTACGTAAATTGATTGCCCAGTTCTGCTCCTAGTTTGTTTGTCGTTTCTAGGGCAAACATGCATAGTAGGTTATCTACGCTACGTCAAAAGGTTGGGATCGAACAATGAATTTTAGCATTATTATAAAGTACCACTTAGTCATGAGGAACTCCACGGCATAACTACCTAATTTTTTGTAAATAAAAAAAAATATATTGTACAAATGGTCTTAATCTCATTGGTTTCCGAAAATACAAGTAAATAAATTATATTTTCTACCTTCATTTCAAAACTAAATGTCAAATTCGTGATGATTAGATAAACGTAAAGGATAGAGCAGAAATTCTCCAGTGATATGACAGATTAAACTCGCTTTAATATCAAAAGGTTTTTATTTCTCTAGAATATTCTTCTATGCAGCAGAATGTGTCTAACTGATGTCAAAGTCACTAAAATAGATATTTATCTTTCTGGTCTCTTTTTTATACTTATTTATATGACACTTAACCCAGCTCTTTGTTTCACAAATTCTCACAAAGCTACGCAGGGGCTATTTGGTTAGCTGTCCCTAATTTCTAACTGATAGACTTGAAGGAAGATAGCTAGTTAATAGCACCCGACGTCAATTCTAGGTCTCCTTTAATCAACTAGAAGGATTTGACAGCCACTCTTAACATATCCAAGTCCCCCCAGTGCACTTGGAAAGTTGAATCATTTTTTTATCAGATTGGACATGATGTAATATTCAGTTTAACTGATTTTCAGGTCAAGTGAGAGGAATTTAGATTTCTACAAATCCAGCTTTTATATTCTTATTGTAGTATATATAATAGAATATATGATTATATTTTCACATGTATATCATTTTTTTATCAGATTGGACATGATGTAATATTCAGTTTAACTGATTTTCAGGTAAACTGAGAGGAATTTAGATTTCTACAAATCCATCTTTATATTCTTATTGTAATATATATAATAGAATATATGATTATATTTTCACATGTTTTTCATTTTTGGCCCCGATGACTCAGTGGTAACTTTGGGGTGTTGGGATCTCTAAAATTCAGGGTTCGATCCTTGTTGTGGCCACAACACAGATAGCTATGAGCATAACGGTAAACAACAACAGTTTTTTTACTGTTTTATTTACAGTAATGAACAACGACAATAGATAAATAATTTATAGATGTACATGTATTACTTTAAACATGTAACTCGTGTGATATTCGAGTCTGCGAGATAACTAACTGTCCAATCACCCAATTATATTTAATGATTTTGAATATATTTCAGCCTATCACGAGTTTCCACCTGACTTCTTCACCAGTCAGCAACGAAGTGATGGAGCAATCATTATTCACGTACTAGTGACGATCTACATGTTTTACGCTTTGGCCGTCGTATGCAATGATTACTTTATAGCTTCGTTAGAAGAATGTTCCCTGGTGAGCATTTTCTACATTTTGCTTCTAACCTTAAAGTATTTTTCGCTCTAACCCTCGATTTGGAGATTTTGTCTTTAGAAAATGATGTCCAAATTTTAGTTTCAGAAATTTATAGTCTAGCCGTCATTTAGTAATGACGATAATCGGGTTATTTCATTTGTCATAAAACTGCTATTAGACAACATATCCATGTACAAAGTGTCATCATTCGAACACAAGGGGCTTTACACTCACAGATAACACGTAATTCTCGTAATCTGCATTCCCCCGAAATGTTGTATCAGTTAAACGTTTCGTCAAGGGGTACAATCATAGGGTAACGCGTAACGATAGTAATTTGCATCGCCCCCGAAATCTTATGTCATTTGACAATTTTATCAAAAAGTAATTCTTAACTTCCCTAATCTATACGCCTCCCCCGAAATTTTAATGTTTCATTAAATGGTTTACACCTAGAGAGTAAAAGGTAACCCTCCAAATGTGTCAGTTTAAAGTTTCAATAAGGGGGTTCACACATGAAAAGTAATACGTAACAACAGTAATTTGCACCCCCCCGAAATCTTATCTTATCAAGGAGCTCACACACACACAAAGAGTAACACGTAACTCCCCTAATCTATACCCCCTCCCTGAAATTGTGTGTAATTTTAATGTTTTATCAAGGGATTTACACAAAGATTGTAAAAAGTAACCACCCAAATGTGTCATTTTAAAGTTTCAATAAAGGGTTCACACACTAAGAGTAACACGTAACTAACCTACTGAAATGTTGTCACTTTTAATGCTTTATAATGACTTATTTCATTCACTTTAAGAAGTTATAATTTGACTCTATGAAGCTACAATGGCCACTAGGGATCAACAATGCTGTTACATGAATGTCGAAGATGTGAAATATCTTATAGTGATTTTTGAATTCAGAATGAACAGCCCCCCAGTGGCATAGCGGTATGTCTGTGGACTTACAACACCAGAATCCGGGTTTCGATACCCGTGGTGGGCAGAGAAGAGATTGCCCATTGTGTAGCTTTGTGCTTCATTACAAACAAACAGACTGAACATCTAATTTTGAAAGTTTTTTTTAAATACTATCGATAAAACACACCCATTTTTAATATTATTTTACCATATTTAACTCTCGATTTTGCTGTTGAAATCACATGCTGAAATGATTAGTCAAACATTAATTTGTTGTATGTTTACTGGGCAATCAAATAACTTTACCAGAAGGCTTGATGAGTCTTAATGATTCCGTTTCTCTAATATACAATAACTGCCCAGAATTCTACATCGGAGGAACAGGAAGAAAATTGGAAACCAGATTGACAGAACACAATACAAAACCGTCCCATGTTTTTCACCAATTGCAACTCAAAGAACCATAGTATATCTATTAAAAACACAGTCATTTTAAACAAAGAACCCAACATAAACAAACAAAAAATCAAGGAATCCATCTTAATTGAACAAAACAACCCTACTCTAAACCAACACCCCGGGGTACCTAGATACCTTTTCTAAGTTTTGCAACAGTTCCGGTCATGTGACTTCTTTGTTCAATACTGTATATATATATATATATATATATCGTGTCAGTAGTAAATTACTTGTACCTGATGATGACAAAACCTTGTCGAAACGTTGTACATTTGCTGTTATATTAAAGTTTTTCTTCATTATCCATTCAAGCCGTCTCCAACCATTATTAGATTTTGTATTGGTTTATGAGGAGCCAATAAG